GGTGTTAGTGTATGTAATCATCACTATGATCCTTCATGTACAAGTCAGCCTGTCTGGGTCTGTTCGTCACAAACCATACAGCACGACATCTTACCACAAAACCACCCCTGTGATATGGACAAGGCAGAACCTGCTCCTTCTCCACCGCAAACCACAGCCCAAGCTGTCACACGAGGGCTCAGGAAATTAACGATGATGGCCCATTTTGGGGGGGTGGATTCTCAGACAGGCAAAAAACGAAAAAGTTTGCTCTCCCCTTAGGATTTAAGCAGATGCAACAGCCACCCTCCAGGTCCATGTCCTGCAATCATTTCTGTACCAGGACTTGTGCTGATTTACAAAGACTATCCCAAAGCCACATCTATTAGTCTGCGCCGATGTTCCGCACATCGCCATAGCAGCCGGCTGGCTCTCCACGGTCGGGTTAATCCTCAGCACGGCTCGTACCTGTCTGAGCTGTCTGAGCTGCCGATAATGTTGAGGGACTCATTTTCACAAGAATGTACTGGACAGTCCCTGTGTTCTGACCTTGCAATGATACGTCTTCTCACCTATAATTTTACAGGACGGAAGGAATGATAACATCTCCCCGCTCACTGTACCTCACATCACTGGCTGTCTGGATCACCACCCACCCCCCCAACCCTCCCTAACCTCACCAGGTAGCGATCTGTACGCTGCTAGGAAAAGCACACAATCCAGACAGGAGAGATGGAGACAGCTCCTCCTACCTATGTTGCAGACGACGGTGCTGAGCCTATGCACGAGCTGCTCTTGTGCCATCTCCTCAGTTCTCATCCAGGGGATCATTCTGCAGAGCGGCGGGGGGGCGGGGCAGGGTGGCTGGCCTGGTGTGTCGGTGCCTCGCGGTGCTGGAGCCTGGAGCCGAGCTGCCACTGTTGCTGGTCGCCGTGAGGCTGCAGAGGCGATGGTTGAGGCGTCGCGCGGAGGAGAGGCAGGGGACAGTGAGACACACGCGCGCGCTCGCTCGCACGCCCGCCCGCACACGCGCTCACGCGCCCGCACACACTCACAGGCCCGCTGGCACCGGGACGCAGCTTCGGCGAACGCGAATCCGCGGCGATCACTGAGAGGAGCAGCAGGAGCAGGAGGAGGTGATTCTGATGTGGAGATTATGCAGTGTCATCTCATCAGATCTGCATGAACAGGCGGGGATACGGACACTCATTAATCAGACACGGACTCAGAGGTCTCACAACCCCAGGTGACACTACATTATCCTAATAGCCCCTCAGCCGGAGAACTGAAAGACATTTTAATCCTCTTTCCATATCAACGAGGACGGTACCAAAATCAATATATATATATATTTTTACTTAAAATAGGCAACATAATATATATGTAACCTACAAGTACCCCGGCTAAGTTAAGACGAGCTGCTCAAAACTCCTGAAAATACAATTAGCTCACAGCGAAATCCTCCGGTCACCAGCCCGGGATAACAGACACGCTCCGAGCTTCGTTTTCGCATTTCGTCACATGCAGCTACTTACATAATTCATAAGCTCAGATACGTTCGCCTCAGATGACCACGCCCACCATAACATCATCCAATCAGTTGGCACAATATCCTTTTATTGACGACTGACCGAGAAGCTCTCATAACTGCGAGAGACTCACGTGGTCTATCTCTGCAGTACGTCTATAAATCAAACTGTGTAATACCTGGAAATGCTTAACAATGGGCTGAACAATAAGGTTGCAAATATTTTTCAAAGTCTGTACCGAAGAGGCTTGATTTCATAATTAATCATGAGTTTAATTCCCAATAGTTTATTGTTTTTACAGCCTGCTATAAGTGACAAGGTGACCTTAAATATTCCCAAGCCATATAATGTGGACCAGAATAGTGAGTTAAATCGGCGTCTTCTTAATAAATTATGGCATATGCAAAGCTGTCAATTATATTTAACGAGCACATAGCCTTTTATGCTAACAGGCACATAACGCACAGGAACGTTGCCTTCGCGTGCATTTAAAATAATTGGTTCTTTACTGATTGCTGATTATGCCGCCTGTCTGAGCGTTATTGTTCTGCATGTGCTGGCAGTGTTTAATCGGCGGACTTTTCAAAAATAGGCAATGTGTAACCAGTAACTCAAACTGAAATCCACTACACCTGACACGTATGACTCAATGTTGTGAAAAGCAGCATATGACGTAAGCCTGCAGCTCCTATCTGGAAACTATTAACACGTGCTGCCACCTGGTGGCAACACAAAGTCGGTGACGATAAAATCGTCGAGAAAATATTGGGAGTGACTAGCGCGACTCACAATTTGGTTTCTCCCGCATACGGCCTGGTTCGGCGCATTTCTTGGGACTAATCCTCTGAAAAACGCATTTTTACGGGTGTCTTTCAGTGAGACACCCATTTCTGACCGTTTTGTGGGCAAACAGTGGGTAAATTTTGTGGAAAAACGACAAATTCACATTATTGCCCCAGATGTTGGATCATGGAGGCATGTATACCTCCTTAAGATCCAGCTTGACTTCATTCATTCCTCCAATATAGACCTTTGTATTTAAATTAAATCAAACTCTCTCCTATTGGCACTCCAGCAACAGGGAAAAACAACTCACACTGATCCATTCAGACATTCGTCACCTGCCACACGGCTGCACTCGGGTTCTCATCCCTGAGGTGGTGTGTTGTGGGTGCGCTGTAATCAGTGCGTGCACCTTAACCCTCTCTCCTATACTGTTGTAATGGCCCCTAGGCCATCTTAAGAAAAAAAGGTTTGTTTTTTTTTAGAAAAAGATTTATTCAAGAGATGACAAGATGGTATTTAACACATACTATACAAAGCAGGAATTGTCATGGTTGACTCCAGTGCGCCCCCCCCCAACCACCATTCAAACTCCTCCATCAGCTTCGTTTCCTTAAGACACCTACTGAAGACTTCAAGACTGACAGCATGTATGAGCCTGTGTCTGGTGAGGCTACGTAACACAAGCTGTCATACTGGGAACAGGCCACTTAGCAATGTCAAAATTTTCCAGTGAGGTGGGGGGTGGTGTACACAGGTACAGAAGCCAGAGCAGACCTACGACCCATGTTTCTGGGATGAACACAGTGGGGAGGGCAGGGTCTGATGTTTGGTACAGAAGGCAAATGGTGGACAATTCAACATGCCGGTGGAGTCACTACGCGCAAAGCAAACAGGTTACAAACGGAATACTGTGTGTGTGAGAAATTTCACCGTGAGCCTGATGGAACAGATCCTGAGCTCCAGGACTTTGGAGTAAGGCAGAAATCGTTGAAGGGCAACATCTGTACTGGTAGGCGTGCTACAAGAACTATAAATAATTTTAAAGTGAGGCGTCTGTACAGGGAGGAGCAATCCTTAAGACATCAGGGTATATGACAAACAAGCAAACATTCTTAAAAGTGCAAAACTTCAGGATTCACAGACTCAATGATTTTAAACTAAACAGAGCAACCAATAACAGGGCAATAAATGAACATGATTATCAGAGGGGTGGAGTTAAGCAGGGCTGAAATGAAACAAGGCAGAGGCAGGGGGAGAGCAGGTATGTCCTCGTGCTGCTTACAATATCTTACTTGTGTCTCTGGTCTCATAGGATGATTGCTGAAGATCTACATTTTGGCAGCATGATGGGTAAAGCAGACATGTGGTTTTGTGATGTTTTTTTTGTTTGCCTGACAGTGGATTAAATTCCATGTAGCCCTATTGACCAGGTGTGTGTTTACACTTTAATTTATCAAAACCGAGGAGGAGGAGATGGCCGTGGGCCCAAGCATCCCATTAAATGTTGGAGCTCCGCCTCCCCCTGGTGGCTCCGAGAGAGACGCGCAGGCGGGGGTCCCTGGCCTTGTAGTGCTCATTGAAGTCCAGGCGGAAGCTGAGAAACTGGAGACTCTCGTCTGAACTGCTCATGAGGAGAACCAGGAACTGCTGCACGATCCCCTGTGACCGAGACACCAGACCACGATTGGTGAGCCGAAGGGCAAAGACAAAGCACAAACACAACATTCTTTACATATTTTAGAGACTCTCCGCCATGGTAACAACTAGATGCTGTTGGAACGACAATGACTAATTTCCCAGATGGTCCCATCTCCCCCACTGCATCTCATCTTCACCCCCGACCTCACCGATCTTTTACCCCCTTACACCAAAGTTGCGCTTTTAATGAGGATGTTCTGGGGAGGTGGAGAGAGTGTGACTCAATGTAATCAGGTCCACCAGACCTACACCTGTCTTTTCATGTGCTATCGCTAAGTGGCACTGCTTCAGTTTTGCTGTGATTTGTCTCAAAAGTTCGAGACCTTCTTCCATACAAAGCGTCTGTGAAGTTTCAAAAAGATCCATCAAATACTTTTTGATTTATCACTCAAACGAGATCAGTGTCTGAGGCTGCCCTTCTCTTTGCCACCACTTGTGTGGTGCTGCTTCAATTTTGGTGTGATTTATCTCAAAATTTGAGCACTTCCAGATCATTACCCATAAAATGTCTACAAAGTTTGAAAAAAGATCTGAAATTCAAAAAGATTTTGGATTATTAGGCTAATGAGACAAGCATCTGTGCTAGCAGTCGCAGACTGGTCCAAAAACCATATATATCTCCCGTCTGGGGAATATAGATAGCATGTTAGCATCAAATTGACTGGACCAGTGTTTCCCAACCCGGACTGTCATGGGTTCCCTGAGGACCGGGTTGGGTCACTTCTAGGACTCTTGCAAGTCAGACAGCAGCTGACAAACTGGATCAGTGCATCCTGCAGTGGGAGCCCAATAGAAAGTCTGTGTATAAGGAGATATTACAGGTCGCTGCGTGAATGGACCCTGCGTGGACCCTGCGTGTGGTGCATTATGTAACGTTGGGGGGGTGGGGTGTGGGATGGCTCACAAACCTGGTAGAAATGTGTCAGTATTCTGAGTTGTGAGCACATTTTTGGTATTGTCTCCTGGAACTTCTGGACTCGCTTCTTCTCCTCTGCCTCTTCGGCAGCCGACACCCCCCACTCCCCCTGAAAAAGAGGCGGGCATCGCATCAAACCATTAAAGGAGCAGCATGTCACGGGGGGCAAGCATGAAATGAATCAATCCTTTATTCGCCATATGCACAAGTATGAGTACAGGTACACTGGAATGATTCTCTTTGCCTACCCCATCTTGCTCTCCATGAGACACACAGACACATATGCAGGTGCGAGCGAGCTTGGGGAACCACAGCGAAGAGCAGAAGCCTATGGGCGCCCATAGAGCTGGGGGTTAAGGGCCTTGCTCAAGGGCCCTTGGACATGTGACCATTATGCCGAGGCTAGGTCTTGAATCGGTGACCTTCTGATCATGGGCAGAGGCGCTTAGCCCGCTGAGCCATTCATCGATGAGTCGGAACCCCAACCTGGATTTGTGTGGTGTCTCTCGAGTTGTGGAGCTGACAAGGTTTTATTTCTCCCACGACTGAACACAGAGCAGCTGTACAGATGGCAAACCATTTTTACGGACAGAGAGAGATATCAGGTAATGTTGCAGCAGATTTGTCACACGCCGCCTGAGATGCGAGTCTCCAGCCTGGAGGAATTTGCAAGAATTCACCCTATTGACCTGCCAAGTTAGGCCGCATCTCATAATCAACACCTGACCAAGGCCACACGCAAGCATTTTAAGTGTCACCACAAGTTTGGAAGTTCCAGCAGAAATTGGGGAATCACTTAACTGGACCAGTTTCTGTACCAGTTGTGTAATTATGTGAAATGGTATCAGGACACTTTGGGTAAAAGGTGCAAATCGATGTAGCTTTAAAAATAAAAGGACATTAAGGAAGCATCAGCGCAGCCTGATGATTATTTACAGGCCTTATAAAACCAGCTACCACCGGCGCTTGTTTACACAACACCTCCAAATGCTCCTCCTGTTGCTGAAATCGATGGTAAGAGAAGACGACCACGTGGCTTGCAAAAAACCTGGCTGCCTTCCAGGAAGAGTGCCACTGGAGGGAAGCAGACATAGAACCAATCTGCGCTGACTTGAATCAGCCGGACACATGCTGCCACAACTCAAGCCACCTACCGTGCTTAGGGACATCTCCTGCAACCTTGGACAGCACATTAAAAGAGTCCCGCCCAGCCCAGAGGCCTCCGTCCCCCATTCTGAGCCCACGTCGCCCTGTGACCCGCCCCTCCGGCTCTACCTCGCCCTCCCGTTGCTGCTTCCTGTCCTCGAAGGCGGAGCGGTAGAGGGCATCCTGCGCATTCTGGAACTCGATGATCTGGTCGAAGATGGCCCTCAGCTGGTTCAGCAGGGACTGGGCCGGGGAACACGGGTCATTATGCTCTTGGGGTTCTGGATATCGCTTGAGGATACGCGAGAATAAACTTGTCTTTTACATGTTTCATTACTACAGGGCCTAAGTCTGTGCGAGTATGTGCGAGTGTGTGGGTATTACCCTGCTGTTAGTGTCCAGTAAGCAGCGGGAGATTATGGTGCTCAGGAAAATCTCATGGGCGGCGATAACTTGGTCAAGGTCCTGGGCCTGCTGGACCTTGTTCCACAGCTCGTCCCATGAGCATTCAAGAACCTATACACATATAGGGAGTGACTTAAAACACCAAAAAATACAACGGGGAACTTCACCTGGCAAAACGTCACTCATAAGCAGCATGAAGCGACTCTCTCAAAACACGCGACTGCCCCTTGACTGTGCTGGACAGAAGCAGCCCTACCTCGAAGGTGATGTAGTACTGCATCTGATGGATAAAGTGAACCATCTCAGAGGCCAGAACGTGACACTGGTGCAGCACCCCTGACAGCTCTGTAACACACAAACAAACCACATCACTGCACCTGTATATGCCTGAGAGAGAACAGCAGCCCACATCCACAGCTGAACGAACGCGACCCTGCTGTCCAGAGTCTTAACTCCTGAATCCTCTAAGGATCAGGACCTCCAGGAGATCGCCAACCTCTCCAGAGGCGCCGCTAATTAGGAAGGGGCCTCGGTTCCCACCTGGCATGCCCTTCAGCAGCTTGCCGCTGCACATCTGGCCTTTCCAGATGTCCGTGAGGATGTACTCCATGCGCTTGGCGCGCCACAGGAAGTTGAAGACGCGCAGATAACAGCTCATGCACTCGCGCGTGAAAACCTGCGGCGGGAGGAACAAACGCACACGCAGGACGTGGCTTAGACATGGCTGAGCACAGCGCAGCAGAGGGCATGCAGCTCACAGAATCACACACGTCCTGCTTGGAGCTCCGACTGAGACACGGTAATGCCACATAACACCCTGGTACTTCCATCTATCACTCTCAGAAGCTCATGTTTTAAATCCATTAATGAAAATCTGAAGTTGGTCACAAAATAAATCCTTTCAAAGCCACAGACTGGACAAAGATGATTTAATAAACACTCATTTTGAAAAAGTACTAAAAAAAAAAACCCCACAGAGCTGAGTTAAGCAGAGTCGGACCTAGCGATAGACGACACCTAGGGTCCGATTGGCACAAGGCGACCCAAATAAAGTCCCCCGTTCAGCTAAATAATCTAATCTGTTTCTGGCTACAGGCCTGCACAGGGCTAGGTTCAGCCCTCTGTTTACGTGGAGGATGAAATGATGATTTTGTTGAGTTTTAGATTTGTACAGTCGTTCATTTCCATGTTTTCCAAATTCCAAGTCTATTTTTGTTACTCATTAGTTCGTTAATATAACAACAAATGTTTGTACATCAATATACCAGTGGGTGGCGAAAGAGACGGTACGAACGATATGTCCACCGATCTGGACCTATATGTGCAGCCGGGTCAGATCGAAATCATTTTGTTCACTTAAAAGATTAGTTTAAAAAGAACCAATCATTCATCAATGACACAAGTCTACACTTAAGGCTATTAACAACACCAACAGGAAGGGGTGTAATACGATAATAATATCGGAAAACCTCCACAGTGTTCAGCATTTCGGAGGGAAAGGATGAAGGCTGTTACCGTGGCGATTGGTCCATCCACATGGTAGTCCAAGCTGAAGACATCCCAGCCAGTATCTCCTGGCGACACCTAGAATGCGATGGCCAGATGTTAGGAAACAACCTTCCGCTGTCCCTGGGTACACACTCAGTACAACAGAGACAGGAACACATTCAGCCAGACCGAGCACCCAGAATCCTTTGCGGCCAGTAGGCGAGGCCCGAGATACCTCCAAGAGCCGGACGTCCAGCCGCTTAAGGATCTCGGGACTGTCGAACTGCGCGTTGGTGGCTCTCACTGCGGTCTCCAGGATGCCCGTTAGGTTGTGCTGGTAGAGCGTGGTAGCTGGACGTGCCAATTCAGGCCTGGGTACAAGGGAGCGAAGTTCAAAGGTCAGGGGTAAGGAAACACCAGGATGAAGTTTGTAGATGAGTAGATGGGAGCCCAAAATGGTTGTAATTCAGTTGAATCATTACTATGTATGCTAGCACAAGCTTACGATGTGTTACATTCAGCATAGGGAGTCCTTTTCTCAGGTAGCAGAGTCCATGAGGTCATTAATCCCGTTTCTGATTTAGGGTTCAGATTCAGCCTAAGGACAGGGGAGGGCGCCCTCACTTCAGCAGGTCCATGAGGTGGCGGATGAAGTCCCCCTGGCCCAGCAGGAGGTAACGTCGCATGGCCTGCAGGTGTTCCAGCAGAGAGTACTTCTTGTTCAGGATGTCCAGCAGGTACTTGCTGGTCTCGAAGTACGCTGCGTCGATCTTGCCCTGGAACGCACCCTCCAGGTCGGTGAAGAGCTCGGCTGCTGTGGGGACAGAGGGAGGGGGTGGGGGAATTACTCAAGGCTGACGTCCACAAGATTCGAGACGCTCCGCCAGTGGGCCCCATCGACCGTTTCCATGGTTTCCATCAATACACAACAAGCTGGGGAGTGGGGCTCCAGTGTCACTGGTCAATATTCCTCCCACCGAAGTTCTCCATCTCCCCTTTATGCGGCCCGTGGACGGGTTAAACGGCGATTTTTGAGGCAGAGGCTACTGCAAACGCTTAGGTGGCTCACCATCCCTAGGGGAGTCAATGTCCTTCGACCCAGGCGTGATCTTCCCGGGCGGCGTTCTGTCATGGCAGACCTGATGCAGGAAGTTGATTGACTTTCCAATGAGCAGAACCTGGCAGAGAGAACAGGAGCTTCAGAGACTGTGTGGCTCAGCTGGACAGCACGCTGTGCTCGTCATCGGAAGATTGTTGGTTCAAATCTCAAGCCCTTAATGTCTGTCCCTGCTCGCTCAAAAATTGTTGTTCTTTGTATCGAAGCGCCTGCTTAATAAATAAAACATAAAAATGTAATGTAAATGTCTGTCAAGCATGCTCTGGCACCAGAGCATTACGGATCCGATCCGATTCGCGGGCCTTGGAGCGGCGGGGGCAGGAGGCACCTTCCTGGATTGATCCATGGTGATGAATGAGGGGATCATGGACTTGCGCAGCGTGTACTTGTCGTGCCACAGCCTGTCCGTCTTCACGGTAGGGTCAGAGGCCACAAAGAACTGCAGGGGAGGGCAGAGAAGCACTGTGGTCAAACACAAGCACAGGGACTGAGATCAAATAATAATAAAAGCGGCTGATCCATAAGATGAGGGCGAAATGCAGCATTTAACAGATATCCAGCCCGAAGTCGAAAAAGAAGCGTCTCAGAAAACGGCAGGGAGACTGGACGCTTAAGAGCGGCAGACACCGCAAGCCAAATCCCATTACGCGCTGGGCAGCCAGGACTGTGTTAACGCACTAATGGAAGGTCTGGGAGGGGGAGGGGGGCGCCAGCGAGCAGGAACATTAAGGGGAATCCCACAGGGACCGTTAAGGCCGAGCTGGAAGGAGCTCACTTACGAAGCTAAACTGGGGATCTTCCTGGAACTAGACAGTGAAGGTCAGAGCAAAGAAAGGCAGAGGCAGCAGGCATGGGTCTTTCTGCTGGACCTTTGAACAGGTTACCAAGCCAAACAGCTTGGCCCCTGCACCCCCAGCTCCCTTACCTCATGGTAGGTGTCCTCCAGCTCCCCATCATAGATCCAGCGGTACAGGAAGTTGAGGATGGGGTGCGACACCAGAGCCAGGACGTGCTGCACCAGTGCACGCATGGAGGGGTCCCCCGTCTTCCCGTAGGCGTGCACTGCTGAGGCCAGCTCCCCTCCTTTACGTCCTGCCAAGATCAGTCATATGTATTCAGGGACATTTTAAGTGGGCCGACCGCACCCGACCAGACCCCTCCCCCGGCGCTCACCTTGGCAGTAATCCACCAGCGTCGCCAGCGTCTTGAGCCGGACCTTGGGATCATAGGTCCATACGAGGAGCCTGCGGAGGGTCAGGCTGCACTCCCCCCCGACGTTGACACCCTGGTCGTCCTCCAACTGCAGCTGGGGTACACAAATGACCCGGGGTCACACCACCCCCCAGACACCAAAGCACCACTAGCTCTGAGCCATCAGTTAGATGTTATTGGGTACGCCCACCAAGAGATGAGCCCATCCCAGTTAAATTACTTTAACAGAAATATGGATTCCTGGGGCCCTCCCCCTCCTAGCTTTCAAAGCCGAGGTTGGGAGTTCAAAGGTACACTCACTGGCAACTTTGTGCTGTACTGTGTAGCTCTGCGGTAAAGGCACTATTTTACAAAAAAAGATGAAAAATCGGACAGGAGGGAAAGAATCAGATAAGCACAGATTGTCCTACCTGTGAGTGCAGGACAGATAGCAACCGGTAGTATTCCTTCAGCTCCTGATGGAGGGCAGCGCAGAAGCTCTGGACATAGACAGAATCCTGTTAACCTCACACACACATCCACCAAGAAAAGGCCGCTCCGGGCTTTGTCTCCTACCTGACCCACCAGGCCAAAGGCCCGGTCTAGGCTCCGGGCATCTGTATATTTCCGCACTTTGTTGTGCAGCCAGCCAAGCTCTGACAAACGGCTGCTGAGGTCCCGTAGCGACTTGGACAGGGGCACCTAGAGGGTGCCACAGGGGAACAATGACAATCAGGGCTAACACCAGCAGCGCCAACAAGCTAATGCTAATGTCACTATCAAACTGCAAACAATATATGCATTAAACGGTTAACTATGCAGATGCTAGCGACACAGAGGAACATGAAGTCCGGAGTAACCATGCTAATATTAGCGCCAGAAAAGGTACACAGGCTAGGGCTAATCGTGCTAATATTAGCACCAGAAAAGGAACACAGGCTAGGGCTAATCATGCTAATATTAATGCCAGAAAAGGAACACAGGCTAGGGCTAATCATGCTAATATTAGCACCAGAAAAGAAACACAGGCTAGGGCTAATCATGCTAATATTAGCACCAAAAAGTCTAGGAATAATCATGCTAATGCTGGTGCCAAAAAGGAACTTGAGTCAAGGGCTAAAAATGGCAGTACTAATATCACGAAGGAAGGTGACTTTAAGGCTAATAGCAATGAAGTTCATATCCACGGTCTAGCAACTGGCTATCCTTGTGTTAAAAAATTTATAGCAGCACAGGGTTAAAGGTTTCTGCGCTTCATAATAGAGAGGAGAGGTGACAGTCTACACTTCAGCACACAAGCTGCATTTAGCAGCAGACGAACACCAGGTACAGAAATGGGTATGGATTTTATTTTGGAGTCCACCTTCTTTATATATCTGGGGGCTTCAAGGGCAATCAAAGCAGTTATTGATTTGTTTTTGCTTTCAGGGCGATTACCAACCAACTGTACAAGACAAGAGAATGCTGAGGCAGTGTGGTGAGCATGCTGTCTGGGGGCAATAGGTCGGGCTGACAGGACAAGACCAAGGAGGAAACACAGGGGTGAACGTGGTCTGCCTGGACCTGGGCACAGCACAGGAGAACCACTCACTACATAAAGCCAGCTGGGAGAAAAGGCTGAACTAACAGGAGCTCTGAAATGAAGATGGTCTAATGGTACCGCTAGATGCTATAAACCACTCAACGTCACGCAGTTCTAGATGCCAGTGTCCGCAGGTACAGCTTCTACGTGGGGCAGGAGAGGGGCGGCCTGAGTGAACGAAGGCAGAGGCATGTGGACGTACCTTAGTGTCTATTTTGTAACAGTTCTCAGGGGTGCACATTTTGATGAACTTGCCGTCGATTCCCTGGAAGACGTAGAGGATGTCCCGGACGAGGGCAGATTCGGCAATCTCACCTGAGCAATGAGAGGGTAGAGGCCTTTAAGTTGAATTCATTTTATGTAATCCTGGACTCAGGGGCGTCGCTTGAGATTTTGGGCCCCATGAAATAATATCATATTGGGCCCCTAACCCAGACCCATCCAATTATGTTTGAAATTATTTAGAACCCCTGGCACGTAGGGGTCCTTTTCCCTGCATTTACAGTGCCCCAGTCTGGACAAGAGCAGAATCATTCTACATCTATGGAGCCCCAGAGATCCACAGAGGAAGGCAGTGACTGCACAGATTTCGGAGTGGACGTGACATTGAGACCCAGATCAGAGTTACTGCTTTTCCACTAGTGCCGGGCCGGTGCTGACAGGGAGCTGGTTCTCAGGTGTTGCTCAAATAGCAGGCCCTAAAAACCAGCCTGCATTTCCACTGGTTAAAAACAACATGTATACCAGATGGTGAGTATGCACACAATGACAGGCACGAGTTTGTTAAATAATGTTTTTTGACATATAATGAAAGCATTACTAATTCACCCTCACCATCAACTGACTTCTCAACCATGCAGTATAGCTGACTTTGACAATGGAAAAAAAACCTGTGGGAAGAAAATACATCTGCCCAAATGCTCCAAACCCCCCCCCTTAATCAATCTGCATAATGGGAATAAGGCTGCCGCGATTAGCGAAGGAGTCGATGACGCAGATGCTGAAAATGCGTCGACATCAATATTTCAAATCGTTACTTTTTTTGTCATCGATATTTTTTATAATTTTATTGAAATTACATTTTGATTTCTGAAACGCTTCAATCCATAACAACAGTTTTCCTTTAATATCACTGCGTAATTATGGGAGTAATTCAAATTATCACTAAACAAAAAGGTGGTTTGTACACTGAGGTTTCGATGACGTACCAAGGCGGCACGAGCGATAAGCACGAGCACCTGAAGGGGAAACACAGGCGCCGTTCTGGAGGATGTTTATGTCTATTTATGTTTATTGAATTACCATTAATACACTTGCTAAATATACTTATTATTAAAGCCATGAGGTTGCCAAAATAAAACTGAAAGAAAACAGAAACTGATGGAAAAAAAATCATTACCTGAAATAAAAATGGAAACTATGTTACCAAATAAACGAGTCAGACTTTAATCAGCAGAGTACCCCCACCCCACAACGTCTGTTTACCCAGTTTAACCACAGTATCTTCCCTTTAAAAAGACGTTCTGGTGGCTCAGCCGTCCCTTTCTTCACCTCCACTTCAGTACTTACTGCTTCCATTATTTACCCACAGGACAGCATGTGGTGCTTCACCATATTTCATAAGCATAAAGATACTCCGAATTTATACAGATTACTAACTTTGTTGTTTAGACATCTGTAGGACACAACAGACCCTGGATTCAATCGGACGCAACTCATCCAAAACTCCAGCTTCATAATTCATTTGAGTATATAAGTCACCCTCTGGAACACACACTTAGCTGAGCAAGCACCAATTTTTGACTGTGTGTAACCATAAGGAAACGTACTGCATCGCACTATGGAGGCTGGCTGCCTACAATGAACACATCACCGTGGGGCCTTTTTACATTTTTTCTGGTCTGTGCTGCTTTGTGAGTGTTCCTTATTAATATTTAATTTATATATTTGATTTTATATAAAATACATTAAATTTATATTTGTTTTAGTTTTGCTAATTTGTTGATATGAACGCGGCCTACTTTCTCCAGCTCTAATTTCTGCATATTTTCAGGAAACGCTAAAATCAAACAAAACATCGATCACTGGAAACAATATATGCGGCTCTGCTGAAGTTTACAGCCCCCCCCCCCCCCCCATATGCTGACAGCACGGGTTCACAGTTTCAGACCAGCAACTCTCTGGATCTGGGCCGGAGCCAGTTTTCCGAGGCGTGGCACCAGTGGACTGGCACAGAACCAGTTCCAAATTAGGTACCAGCTTGGCACCAGCACCATGTTACTGGAATTGGGTTACGAGAAATGCAAAAGCCCCTTGGGGGGGGCGACGACCCACCGTTTTCGTCACCGTCTCGCCGTGGCCTCAGCTGGGTCCTGGCCGCAAGCGCTGGCGGGGCGGGGGGGCCTCGTGAGGTAGGTGCTGTGGCTGAGGGCGAGGTTCCAGGAGCCAGGGTCCAGGCCAGGCGAGTCCCAGGCTGCCGCAGAGAGTCCCCCAACACCTGGGCCGGGGCCCTGGGGATGACGAGCACACACAGCCTGAGCCTCCAGTGCAGCAGAGTCAGTGAAAGATACATCCTGTCCAGCAAGAGCAGTAAACACTAATGGCAAAGTGAAAGCTCTGAAAGGTCACCGACGACCTCCACTCCAGTCCTCTGCTACGCTCAGAAGATTTAACGGCAGGCGGTGCCCTGACATCAGTTTAGAACTCAATTAAAAGTGCACCCTCCAGAACACGCTGGGCGCTAATTGCCTCTCCAAGGAGAATCGGAGAGCATTAAACACTGTGGAGGACATCCTTAAACATTTAACGGCGCTTTGGATCCATACAGGGAATGGCTAAACGATCCTTGCGAGGCAGGACGACGGCTGCGTACGGAAAAGCAGTAAGGTACGAGAGCCCATACATTATTCAGGGCTTTTAATGGTACTGCAGACAGCTTGGGAGGCGTGATGCCGTTCATCAGGGGCACTCTGATCTGGGGTCAGACTGTGGCCGCGAGGCTCTGAGCTCACCCCGACAGCAGGGCTTGGGGAGTGAGGGTGGGTCCGTTGAGGGTGTGCGTGCCAAGGCTGCTGATGCCACTGGTACCCAGGGTGGAGGAGCGCTCTGGGTGGCCCAGAGAAAGGCTCTGGGGACGGGCGCAGTAGAACGGGGTAGAGTGGGCATCCCGGGGCAAGGCCTGGGCGAACATGGAGCCATAGCCGGCCACCTGGAATGAAGAGGTCACATGACGCGTTACGCTAGCTGCAGGTTTGATTCTCCCAATGGGATGGGTGGGGGGGAATTTAGCACCGGTGATTAAACGAATAATCATATGGAAAAGACTGACAAATGCCATTATTGGATATTATCCATGCATCCATCCATCCATATTCTATGGTGCTTGTCCTATGTAGGGTCACAGGGGTCCGCAGCCTATCCCAGAAGCTACGGGTGCAAGGCAGGGAACAACCCAAGAGAGGGCGCCACTGCAGTCTTGGCAGTTATATTTAGACATAATGCTGAAGATCTACAGTTTATGCATCTTTGGAAACTGCAGACATTTTGGATATCAGAATTGGGTGCATCAGGTTAAAATGTGTGTGTCCACCCTATGATTTGTTTTGCAACGCTCTGTGTCCTTTATAGGTACAAGTTTAATGTGAACGGGGCGGAATACCATACTGACCCGGCTGCATGGCTTACGCGGATCCTCACACAGGCTCAGAAGAAGGTATAGGATGGACCACCTGTGCTTGAGCACCCCCTGTATAGAGAAGCCGAACATCCCCTAACTCTCTGACGACAGGTTTAAAAGCATTAACAAAATATATCCCCCCTGCATTTATTTATCCCATCCAGCAAGTGGCTTGGTCATTAAAGAACCAGACAAACTATAGGAACAAACACAGCAGTGCTCAGTTACATTTTACATGCTCCACCGGGGCACCAAAGTTGCAAAATTTTCCAGTATGTAGCAGGTAGCGCGTAGCACAGCGGTCCAACTGACCTGCGTCTGGAGTTTCCGGTGCAGTTCTGAGAAGAGGGCCGCGTCAGCCTCGCGCCTCTGCTTGAGCACTGCAAAGGAGAGCCAAAACAAATAGCCCGGTTACAGGTAAAGGCTTTGCCAATCTTTAAAAACTAGGTAATTTGCACAGCCCTGGAATAATTTGAGGAATTTAAGAAATTAATCTTCATGGCTTCAACGTGGATCAATAAATGGCCATTAAACAGGCTTAATAATTAAAATGCTCAGCACTAAAAACTCCCACTGCACTGCTGTTCTTGGACTATTCTTGGCAAATAAAGATTTGTTTTTATCGGGCCCCTGACCAAGCAAAGTAATAGCATATGAATACAGAAAATTCCTGTCAGTAGAAAGGTAATGGACGTCCTAGAATAGTCAGGTATCACTCAGAGCCGACCGATTGAAAGTGCCTGGACAGGCTGACCTTGACGAGCACAGGAGCTCAAACCCTGTCCAGAAAGTCACAGGTTGAAAACCCACAATTGGGCATAGCGAGGGTGTGTAGGCTTCATAGAAAACCAGTAATTATAAGTGTTCCCCAGGATTCATGTGGGTTCCCCTGAATGGCGACCGACAATCTGACCAAATCCCGTGTGAGACTCACACTCTTTCTTGATCTTCTCTGAGACCAAGAACTCGTCACGCTCGATGGTGGGGGCGTAGTTGCTCCCGATCACCCTGACGGCATACTGGAACTGGTGGGCCACTTCAGCTGAAACAGACGCCTTCCAATCAGGGATGCACTAGTAGCACAATAACCCTGAAGCACAAAACACTCACTCATTTTTAGTAAAGTTCTTTCAGAACAGAACTATTTGGCTTTTCCACATACATTCACTCTAACACCTGACTAACTTTGGACATGCACCTGTGCACTTCAAAATATCATGAAGATCACACTTAGCCTAAATTCAATTCAATTCAATTTAATTTACTTATATACAGCGCCTTTCACAGCAGTCACCCCAGGGTACTTGGCATGGGTGTGTGTTAATACAGTACAATTCATTGTATTATTAACCCCTTCTGCTTATGTGCATGGTATTATATGTATAATGACATTATTGTTTCTCCACCAATTAATCAATTTCGCTTTGCTCTAATCTAATCAATATTACATAGTACTGTTGGTGTAACAGATTTTTTATTCCTTGTCTTCTCATGGGATCTGGTCAAATATGCACATACATTGGGGTAAATCAATAATCAATCATTTGGGAGGCAGCCACAAACAAGCCGATATTGTCATGATCTATGGAGTTATGTCTCCATGTTAGGCTTGGTACTACCGCGATTAAGAGATAAAAAGCAGATCTGGGATCGGGCAAGCTCACATTTGACAAACACTTGGCGATTAGAGTTACAGTGGTCATGGAACTATTCAGGCAAAACTGGCGATGGGGGCGCACCCTCCTATGATGCTGGCCAATGAGATTTTCACACTGGCGCACAGAAGCATAATTAGATACCAGTTCTTTAGAGCCACATGCCATTGAACTTCAGCTCCAAAAGATACGGACAGTCGCGGGCAGTATCATCATTTATTCACATTAACGCATCTACCACGGCGATATTTTTAAAGAAATTTGTCATGGTGATGTAGATTAAATGCACCATAATATCAAGGCAGTAGCTAACGGCGACTTGTGACAGTTAAAACGCGTCTAACAGGACAGATTGCACCTGCATGTCAGCATCCTGCTTAATTACATCTCTTTGGGCCTTTTGGCTCCTGCTGCACCCAATCTGTGAAAATAGCCACAACCGGTACTGTCCCCATGCCCAAGGCCGGACCAGTGCTATTTTATCCGGCAGGACAAACGCCCGGCGCTGGCCGCAGTTACCTTCGCTTTTCCCAGTGATCCTGCAACAAAGGCTCTGCAAAAGGACGTTAGGCGACTTCTGGTCCAAAGCCGCCATTGCGCCAAGCAATCTTCTACAAGCGAGCGCCGACTGGGAGTCGCCTTCTACCTGCTGTTGTCGTTCGCGCGGCAATTTTCCGCTCTTAGCAACAGCGCCATTTTAACCAAACCCGCCGAAAGCACTTTTCGCGGCTGTGAGTGTGAACTGGGCTGAATTATGAAAGCGTCGCATCCGCTGTGATGTGCGAGCCGCACGAAAAAACGGTCCGGCTGAGAATATGGACACAGTCGAAGGTTCCCAAATATTTCTTCCTACGCCGTTATTTACTACTGAAATCTCATATAATCTATATCTATCTACTAAATATATATATAACATGTTAATTAGACAATGTATTATATAAAACTCCGAAATATAAATATAGGTTAATTATTTAATCGCTTTGTTTTTTTTTCGCATAGTAAGCAGTGTTTTTATTGCTATTTGTGCTATTTTTTCATAACGGTAGTTTTAACAGTAATTATTTTGGTTGATATGGTTTCTCTTCTTGAGTTATAGCCCCATCACATAGAACTTCTTAAGGCATGCAATGAATTCCATGCCGCAAGCAAAACGGCTCGCATAATTGGAGATATCTGTTTCATTTTTTACTACAATACTAAATACTAGAGTTTAATTTAATTAACCCCGAAATCCATATATTACTATCGTATCTCTGCCTTCACCGGCCCTGCATTTCACTCTGATAAATCAACAGTACCGTACTCACGTTTTTTCGTCCATAGCAGCCCTGTATGCTGTTCAATTAAATATCTTTAAACTTTGTTTTTTTTTAAAAAAGTGGAAAAAATCCCATCATTTCGGATGAGCCTGTTATACCATAGCATACACTATCTTCTCATTCTTAAAGTTCTCAATGAGCAATTTCTCTGATCACTGTTAATCGGAAATAAAGGCACGTACTACATTGACTTTATTTCGAAGTATAGTTCTTAAACTGTGGATTGATAGCCCACTTATTACATTGGCTGTGAGTTTCAATGTGCGTTTTGATACCAACTGTTTTTTTTTGTCTCCATTGAACTAATAACGCTTCTTAAATTGTGAATGTTACTGAGGGTTCACATATTGCATTCAATAAAAAGCTGCGAGTTTAATGTCCGTTTTATGCCAAAGAGTATCCCTTCTCATTCTCCACTTAATTAATAACAAAGAATTACATTGAATTAGGTGAAGATAATTGAATGTTTTTTGCAAGCCAAATATCCAAGAACTATAGGCTAATTCACACAATAAATAATTTTAAGTATATTAGATTCTAACGTTGAATTACATCGGATAGTAGCGGGAAGCAATTATTTAAACTTTCACTTTGATTTAGAGCATGGGCGTCGCCCAGGGTATTTTAAACCTAGCCCCGAGTATTTTGCCCCCAATGCCAATTTTCCTTCAAAAACAAAAAAGTCAAGCCCGAGGTGAACTTGACTTAGTCCAGAATGTTTTCAATGGCTAGAAACTCCCCTAATTTAGAGCAATTCTTTATGACTTCATTGATCAACTGCAGAGTCGTTATATTGTTCACTGTTATTATTTAATGTTTCAGTGCTTGAATTGCGATCTATTTTTTGAAGTTCAAAAATACATGGAATTTTTCTATTTTACGATGAAGAAAAAAAACTGTGTAGTGATTTGTGACAGTCGAGCTGCATAATGCGCTACACGGAATTAAATTTAACGCACTGCGACCCCGCGTAGGACAAATGAAAATGAACGGATGGTATTAATTGCTATTCACTCGCTGCCTGGGTTAGGGCAGACTGATGCGATGTTTCTGTGCGAGCTGTCCCTCGCCATCGCGAGCGACGCTGTCGCTGTCCTTCGGGGGAGTGGGTGTGACTACGGAATGCGCATGCGCCGACAGCTCCCATGACGTATAACGAAAGAAAAGCTCGAGCTCTCCTACGACCGGGGTCCAGGCGGATTACAGGCGAGGCGAGGATGAGAAGGGAGGCAAGGAAAACATAAAAAGAAAAGAAGAAGGACTTGTCAAGAAAGAAGAGTACTGACCCCACGAAAAGTAAAGCCAGGGAAAAGAAGAGTAAATATTGTACATTAATATACGAAGGAACCCCTAAAAACTATGAATCCCCAGCGCGTAGTGTCGTTACCTGTTCGATTGTAAGACGTGACAGTTAGATGTTACAGTTTGCCATTGCCGGGCAGAGCTGCTACTTTATTGCACACTAAGAGTGCAAACGTCATGGATCACAGATCAGAAAACACAACTGGCTAGACCTTCACTAGATCAACTGAGGTTTGATAAGAAAAAAAATAGAAATAAAGACGGCCAAGAAGGTGTCGAGAAGAATGGATTTTAGCGCACTTCGGAATCTCATCAGCAGATATGTAAGTAGGGTAGGACCTGTGCTGTTTCACTCAGCCGCTGTTTTCATTCCAACTTGTTGGTCCGAATGCTTTGAGGCAGACTCAGGAACCCCCCACAGATTGATCGCACCTCTTGGGGTATAGGGGGTTACGATTTACATTACACGTTTATTTTTGTGTTAAATAATTTCTGTATGGATGTTAAATAGTGTCTGATTTTCTTGGAAATTATTCAAAACACGGAGAGGTTACTTTGTTGTCATGAATGCAGAAAGACTGACCCACGGATAATGAAACAATGCCGGGTACTTTCTGTAAACCTTCCTGAAAGAGCGTGTTTATCCTTATCGCATCCTGCGTGAGTTTAAGGAAATTTACGTCCCCTCTGTTGAAACTTTAGACCAGTCAAGTATCGCGAAGAAGTGGCCGAAAACGGTAGCATATCGCGCCTATTAAGCAGTATGTTCAGTTTGTTGTTTTCCAGACAGTCGTGTAATTTATACCTGTTATCTTTAACGTTATATAAATTGCGATAAAAACATCTTTTTAAAATACAGAGACATTTGCCATAACAAAATTCAGTATGCCCTGTTTCTGAATGGTATTTCAAAGTGGGATGAACACGGACACGTGTGTGAATTCTTTTGTCCGTTATTTAGGTATAATAATATACCATTGGATAAGAACAAACACAAAAACCTGAAGTAAATGTATGTATATATCTCATAGTCTGATACAGGTTTAGGTGTATGTTACTGTATATATTATAGGTACTACGCTGGAGTCTCACGTATATAAAAATCTGATTTAATGAATAGAGAAACACTCGATTATTTTCTTCTGACAAATAAACACAGTATTTTAATTTAACTTAACAACAACTTTAACTTTAGCAAGCAACACTGACAAGCCGTTTCAGACTTGTCTTTATTGTAAATTGGAAAGAATTGATACAGAAGCAGATGAGATTCAGACCGCAGAAGCCGAAATACAATATATAATATGGGTAAGCAGGGTGATGTACAAAATGAGAGCGAAACCAAGGGTGACGCCATCGTGGACACATGTTGATTAAACTCACAATAAGCCAAATGCTGTCGTTATGTATTTTCATCAAAGCAGCTGCCGTACACTCATCCTTAGCTCATCCCTTTACTTTGAACGAACGTTTTGCGAAATCGATATACGTTGTAATATGTTGTAATAATGATTGTGCCTCCCTCACGCATTAAAACCTGAATGGATGGAAGGATGGATAAAACAGACGCTCTGGTCTTTCCCAGCTTTTGTGGCAGTTCACATTTCCATTATAGCAATCAAATATAGCATCCAAAAACGTGTTTTTCTTTGAAAAAATATACATACAATATCGGATAAAAGTGTTGAAATCTACTATTATATATCAGGTTTGCGTGGGTACTTAGCCGTGAAATATGTTACTGTGTGAAAGGAGGTTAAAGATAAAATGAACAGATAACATTTATCAGATCTGGTTGGTAAACGGTAATATTGCCTTATGTATAACTGCGCCGTCCTCCATACGAAGGTAAGAAAGGGTGAGTAGGGTAACGCAGCCGAAGGCCAGGGTTTCCCGTGTTGATACCTGCGTTTTTCTTCACAATGATATGTTGGCAGACGGCCCAAAAGCAAGGTTGTTTTGCAGTCAGCATGACAATAACTGTTGATGAGTGAACATGGTAGGGAGATTACTTGCTAATAAACAGACATGGTAAAGAGAGCGCTCAGAAAAAAAGTCTCTAGGTGATTTTTACTCTTTAACTTGAATAGTTTGCATCATTCATAAATAAACTGTATTTGGCAAAATGATTGGATGAACAGATGCTCCTTACAAAAATTGTCTTTATCAACCCGCAAAGTGATGACAAACTAGAATTGTGTTAGCAGAAAAACATTTATATTAATCTGAAGTGAAAGTCAAATATAAATGAAGTCATGTTGTCACATCACTATTCTGATTACTCATCAGCAGAAAGTTTAGAGATTCCAAGTAAAAACCCATTTTTTGTTCTAAAATTCCCAAGAGGCATTTTTTTCCCCCAGCATTTAGTGTAGAATACAGCAGATACTGAAGCAGGAGGTAAACAGCTGGAATACAGTGCCCAGTGTCCTTGTACTGGGATCTCAGTGTGCCGAGTGGGATCGACGCCACATAGCAGAAAGAGCACAGAGGACGCGGCACGAGATGCTTGAAATAAAGGTCCACTCTGGGACGGAAGCAGTGCGGGGCTAATTTCAGTCGTGTCTGGAAGGAGATTCTGTGTATTGGTGTGTGTAGCCTGGGAGATCTCCACGCCATGGGCAAGAGTGAGGCGGATGAGAGACACACCAGCCCGGGCTGGGGCTGCTGTGGCTTAGGATTCAGTTTCATTTCCCCTTTTTATTTTTGTGTTGGTTTTTTTTCGGTTTCTTGACTTGTTTATATTAAGAAAAGTCATTGGAGCATTTTAATCCCGCAACCCCTCCCTGCCTTAAACCATCACAACATAAACAGTACTAAAGTTATGTGGAGGTGACACAACTAAGTTACAATGTTTCAAATATAAAAATTAACTGCTTTGGGAAACTTTCCCAGCTTTGATGTCTTCTACAGTTCATTAAAAAGATCTTTCAGAAGTAAGCTTTGTGTATCCAAGAATACATGGACTTGATATTCCACTGCAAGCAGCTGTTTCTGCCACCAGCCAGCTGTGCTGGAGTAAAAAATAAGAATACTTGTGGCGTAGTGTAGAGCTTAGTAACGCTGGTGTTTCACTAACGAGGAGTTTCACTTGTTTAGAGATTGACTTTTCCAACTCACAGGACACTGATCAAGCATATTTAACCCAAAATAAATTTAGTCTTAAATTTATTGTTATTGTTTATTGTTAAAGTGCTCCACTCATAATCCTCCCGCTAGGTACAACCAAAGTTAATAAATTTGCTATTTTTTCCATAGCCAATGGGACCTCTGTGTCAACCAAATATTGCAGGATCCCTTAATGTCAGGAGATATTATTTTTCTTCAGAATAGTATCTCCAGTCCTGTAACCCTGGAATGTCAACCAGATGAAAGACCTGCCTGCATTCTTCTTGTGCAATTTCATCCATCTAATGCACAGAAAAAAACGCATTCATCCCTTTAAACAGCTACAGTTGAATCTGATATCCTAATCCGTCTCTCCTTGGGTCCTGCATCAGAGTACAGAGGCCGACTGTTTGTGTAGCTGAACTGGGTAAGACGTAGTGAATGTCGGTGACCTCATATCCTGAACGGTTCATATTTAATGCACGCTTTCCCTCATCTGCCTGGCTGCTCTTTACTGAGTCTCCAGCAGTTTGGCCCTGAGAGCTGGAGGTGCTGAAAGCGCATGGCACGACTACCCTGCCACGTCTGTGATCTCATTAACAACGTTCAAGCTGTCTACAGTACATGGTTCCCCCAGGGCCTCCAGGCACAGTCCTTCCCTGAAAAAAAAGGATGTAATTTACGGGGGAAGAAAGCAAAAACAAACAAAATCACAAAATTAGCAATGGTATAAAAAGCTGATCCAAAATGGTATAATCTATATATAACCAGGAAGGAACAGCTCTACTGAGAAAATAACAACCTGGGGTTTGGTTGCATACTGTAACATCGCACTAGTCCAGCAGGTGGCATAATGGTTAAGCTGCGCTATTAACAATGCAGTTGAATGGTGCATTTTCAAGCAAGGTGTCAGCTTAGGCTAATCTACTTGTAGGGATGAGCAGTGTTACTAAAAGGGGGAAATGGCCATCTTGTCTGGTGCCTGGTGCCTGGCTGTCTCTGATTGAATAAGATTGCCATGATTGGTGCCACACCGGAGTGGGGGCTGTGGGGGCACCTTCCCAGTTGAAGTTGGGGGGCCACTCGATGTCACAAAGGAGTAAAGATGGCAGCTTGCCCCCCCCCCCCCCCATCCCCCATTGTCTCCACCCAGTCACGACGCTTCTGTTAGAGCGAGGTCGCCATGGAAACCATCATGGAGACGTGCCTCCATGTGCTCCGCAGATGTGAAGAGGGGGGGCCGTTGCTTCCCTGGTGTTTTTCTCTTCCTGAACGATTTTACATTCTGAACGATTAAAAACTGAAGTGCTGTTGTCCAGAAAAGGGCATGGAGGGGCTATAAAGATCACCCGGATTTATTATGTTAAATAATCTGAAAGAGGACACCATTTAAAGCCAGCTGAAGGAACGTGTTTTGGCCGGTATGTAACAGCATCGCGATAAGCTCTGGTTCCTAGACGTAACACCATGCCTGGCTCAGCCTTGAGCTGGGTAACCTCCTCTGAATTCACCATGTCGAAATACATGGCTCTTTCTGAATACTTTGGGGTGCAACGACGCCCCCTATCCCTGCTTCCATAGATTTGACGCACGCTTAGAGTCAGCTTAGCGGCTGCATGACTGGCTAATCTCCAGGATTATGGCAGAGTTGCCTGTGTGGTGGCTGTCCCCCCCCCCCTGCTTCTTACATGCCCAGAGGTGCTGGCTGTCATAATTCAGACATTCCTATTACGCCGTCCCCAGTCTCACACTGGTGGAAACCAGGTTTGTTGTGGATGGTGGCTTTTTCACTAAGCAGCTGTTTCTTTGGATCAATTATGAAATATCCAAATGGAAACACAACATATATAACAAATACTGGCTAAGGGAATGAGTGTAGACGGGATTACTATGCCTTGCATTCATTTCCTGGCTCAAACCCAATGGGAAACAGGCAAGTAATTAATGGAAAGTGGGTTGAACCAGCCAATGACTGGCGGCTTATGATAATATTACTGGCAGTAGGTTTGTGCACGCTAATACTCCCATCACTGGAAGATGTGTCTTGCTGATTTTAGGTTATTAATAATTATTGCAACGGTGATTTCACATGCTGATCCTTATCTGAACTATTGGTCTCATCTATTGCATCCATTTTCACTTTTGTGCCGTGCCTGATGAGGATTATTGTGTTTGTGGAGATAATATCAACGACAGAGACCGCAGGAGAAGGTTT